GTAATGTAATTGTCACTGATTTGGGCTTCAGGTTTCCAAAATACCAGGAAGGGAGAAATAAGGAAGTCATAAAAAACCCTTTTTCCTCTGCCATCTCTGTACATCCTTCCCTGAGTGTACTCCTTATAGAAATTCTTCTTGAGAAATTTGCAAATAGAAGCTAAATATCAGAAGTCTCACTTGCATGTACTTACGGGTGCTCAGCTGAATTGTCTCAAAATACAAGAGCTTTTTCACCATCCTGCTTTCTTGAAACAAATGCTAGGAACCCTGTTATCCCTGTTTTGAAATGCTAGACTAGCTATAGTATTTCATATAAGCCCTCAGTCAGACTGCAGTCACCATCTCTTAACAAAACTGGTTTCTGCCTGCAGAAGGCATATACAAGTCAGTAGTGCAAAAGTAGCAGGAGATATTTGAAACTTGAGAGATGCTTTCTATAGCAGGTGAAATCTATTTGTAATAATAACTAAGCTTGTTACTGTGGGTCATAAAAGTCATGTAGAATGAATATCTAGGATGAACAGAACAGCTGAATTTGTAGTCTTTGTTTCTACCTGATTGTAAGTGATTTACATTAGCATTACAACTTTCAATCAAACAGAAGTCAAAGACATTACAAACCTTCACTACCTGATTGCACGACTAGCAGAAAATTGCTTCATTTATCATGCAAGAGTAGCTGTAAAAACTATGAAGGGTGGTGGTATATGATAGTTTAGGACAGCAAGTGAAGAACACTGATTACAGCTGAAACTGCAGGGGGAATGCTGGGGTGCAGAACTAAATTAACCTAGTTGGAGTTTGGCCAGGACATTGGGATACATACCTTAGACTCTGTGTGGGACTTCTAATTATTACAAGTGGTCTAAAAAATTTTCTCATCCAAGGAATAGAATGTGCAAAAGTTCCATTCCCTTCGTTCATCTTACAGCCAGGGAGGTTGGCTCTCTGGCCAGGGGAAAGTAAGTGTATCCCCGTAGTTACAATAGCTCCTGAGGCATCGCTTACTAACGAAACCTGTGCTCTGCCAGTGCTAATCTGTGCCACTCAGGACAGACATTAAAAATCAGCATCATTAAGGTTTTAGCCTCTATTTCACTGCCGCATCAGTTTCAATCTCTAGCAGTGTGTTTTGTCTGCCATATGGAAGCTTAAGCAGTCGCTGCTACTCAATAACAAGAGAATAGGCCTTCCCAGAACATTTCCTCAGAAACAGGTTCAAGTTTGAGTAAACCTATGGGGAATATAGGGTGGTAAGTGGAACCATAGAGCAGTAATGCCTACATTCAGGCTGCTAAGCACACTCTGTCTTTGCCCCTTTTTTCTATGGCTTATGAGTCACTAAAGTTTGCCAGCTGAAGATGGAATTTCTGAGGTTTGATCCTTTGCCCAAAGGTGAAGTAGGTTTGTCTTTCATTTTTGGAGATTTCTTTTTTCCTACTATGTAGAAGTGGTTCAGCCATTTATTTTTCTCACAAAGGAACATGTAGAAACTATTCCCACTGCAGCAAGAGTATTTTCCCTTGCTTTCTGAACAGCACAACAGCCAAACAAGCAGGGGGTTAAAAAGTTTATATTTAGCCTAGCCTAAAACCATCTAGCTGAAAAATGCCTTTGAGTGCTTCGGTAGAATCTGATTTTGATTTGAACAAGCTTTGACCCTCAGAAAATTCCACACATAAGCTCAATACATTCATTATTGGTGTATTCATTGGGCTCAGAGGAGGAAGGCAAGGTTATACTGTACGTACATGTGGTTAGTGTATGTCCTTATCCTAGCACAGTTTCTTAGGAGTACTCACTGTGAGTGGGAGCGCTGAGCTTGGTGGTGCTTCTTACACATCTGTGACTGAATGTGCACTTGGTGCTTGCAGTCTTAGGAACATCCTGTGTCTTTAGGAATAACCTAAATGCCTAATGAGGCTAAAGGGGGCTTCTGAGCAATTTGGATTGGTCCAACAGCCTCTGCCTCATTGGCCAGGGTAGGAATCTGGTCCAGTGAGGACACCTAGGGTCAGACAAAGCCTAGACATCAGTGGGTAGGCCCTCAGTGATGAGGCAGGTCCAAGGTCAAGCTGTGGAGTCAGTGGCCAGATCAAGTTGGTCCATGGCCATGGAAAGGGGAAGCCTGTGGCAGAGCTGAAGACCAGTAAGTTTACAGTGTTGTTGAGGCAGGGGCTGAGTGCTCTGGGCTGGGCTGAAAAGGGGAAACTGCAGGGGATATTTTGGGGGGGCCCAGGTGAGGCCAGTCAGGCTATTAAGGTCTAGTAGTGCCCTAAGGACCTTGACAAGGCTTTCCAGAAAGCCAATTTCTAGGGAATCTTCATGTCCAAAGGTACTCAAAGGTTGCCTTGAGATCAACCTTATCTGTTTGAAAAGGCCCCTGCTTTGAGCAGGGAGTTGAAATAGAGATGTCCAGCCTTCCATCCCAGCCTGGGATGTTCTGTTATTCGACAAAGCCTGCTGGTTTTTCTTCTACATTAACAGAGCATCCAGAATATCCTGTCACTATGAATGTTACTCACTCAAACTTTAAACTGTGTGTGGTAGAAGCCAAATAGGTAGCATACACTACTACTGTACAGCCTTACAGAGTGATGAGCCTGAATGCTGCAAACTCTTACACACACACTTCACATTCTACCATGAGCAGTCAGTTAAGGCCCTCAGAAAAATAGTTAAACATATGTGCAAGTGTTTGGAGCATATCCAAACAAGGATATCATCATCATCACATGAAGGACTATTTGCTGGCATTTAGAGCCCATTCATGATCCAAGGGAAGTCAACTCTCTAGCTCTCTAGTCTACTGTCTCAGACCCTGATCTGCCTTAAAGTCTGTTTGCACTGTGGCCTTGACTCAGCAGAGCAATTTGGGGTATGTGTCTTGCTGAATCAGAGCTTATGCACCTAGCTGAGATTGCTTTGTAGGACACAGTCCGTTTCCTGTGAAACACTTGTGAGGTTTTTGGCATTCACTTCAATGAAAACATGACAGAAATCTGTGTCACCTGGTCATCCCTTGAGCTGAGAATAAAAGTTAAAATGAGAATGGATAGAGCAGAGGCTGCCAATAAAAATGGTACATTGTGGGCTGTAGGGGAAAAGGCTTTTATTAATGTTTCCTGCAATGTGCATGGACATAGAACAGAAGGAGTTAAAAATGAGTACATTCTTTACATGTACATCTCTGGAAAAAGAGTGTTCAATTTTATAGTACCAGGAACAGAACAAGGAAAGAATTTATGAGGTGTACAACCGAAAAGGACAGTTTTATGCTTCATTTTGATGGTGGTATTTCCTGATTGATGAGCATGAAGATATGTCATTTTAATATGCTTTGACAAAGTTGGTTATATAATGCTTATGTACGAGACTGGTTTCTTCTGTGAATTTACTTTTGAAGCCTTAACTGGTGACTACATGTGTGTGTATAAAAGAAGAAGCTTTTTGCCTTTAAATACTTCATCTTCCTTAGTTCTGAAGTTGTGGTACTGTCTTTGGCTCAGCAGACTTGGAGCCCTTCTAGAAACTGCGGGAATATTTCTAAATTTGGTTGTTGAATCTGCTCAACAGAAGAGCTACCACTGGAGAGAATAGATTTCATTTGAAAGTACTAGTAAGTGTGCAAAATTGCGCTGAACCTTAGGAGCCAAAGTCTATTTACAGTTAGAAGACTTGGGCTCTTAAGCGCTTATAGCACTTTTGAAAATGAGACTTAAATGCTCCTAAGTAATTTGGGCACTACAGAAAATCATATCTAATTTCCTTGATTTTGTGCTGACTTCAACACCAATCATAAAATGATTGTTATCTAGATGGTAGCAGAACTGGTCGCATGTGCAGCAAATCCAAGAGAAGGAAATATGATTCAGAAGTGAATTAAATAATTGAATGGTGTTTAAATACAGGAGGCAGTACACATCCTTGGCTTCAGTGGTTCTATAGTAATTATTTCCAAAGTAGATGTTGCTCTCAGCTAAACACTCCTCCCCTGGAAAACAGTGGAGCTGTATCCATGCAGACTGCCCTGCACACTCCTGGAAATCCTAAGTTATTCCTCTGTGGCCACTGGAAGGAGACTAACGTAACAACAAGCACACACTCCGATGCTTCAACCAGTCCCCCAGAATACCAAAATCTTGTTCAAAATTGGGTGATTTTGGAGAATATTTGGGAAGAGAGGTTAAGGACAGACTTTCTCAGCACTTCAGTGGATCAGATGTATGCTAATCCCTTGCTGCCTGGAGCAGCAAGTCAGGTCTCTTAAGAGTGCACTGTTGTCAGGCCCTGGTTTCACATGATTACTGCTGTGGCTGACAGGAGAAAAAGGGGTTTTCCTTTCTGCACAAGATCTCAGTGGTACGGCAATCCGTGGGTCAGAAAGAAACATCTTTTATGGAAGCTCTGCAGCCTGCTATGGCTGTATTGTAGACATGCTTTAAAGACTTAGGACCTCAGGGCTCACTGGCTCTGTTAACATCTATATTCTCAGGTCTCCAAGAGTTCCTCTGGAAACTCTGCAACATTCAGCTGCCTCTGCCCCATTTCCCACATGCCCCTAGAAATTCCAGGGCAAAACTGGATCCTTGGGATCCAGGCTCCAAGCCAGATAGAACTCTGGGATGCACAGGGAGATGCTGAGCAATAGGCAGCAAGGGCACATGGGTGCTAGCTGCTATAGAGAGCAGGAGAGATGTCCACAGACTGTGGCACCACCTCCAAGGGCAGCACTGGGCAGCTCCAGGAGTCTTAGGACTGGCACATACAGTGTGTGCAGGACAGGAGCCTGCTGTTAGGGAGAGAGGGATCAGAGCTTTGGCTGCATCAACCTAAAGTGCTGATCCATCACTGAGAGAGACCCCTCACAGCCCAGGCTCCCCTGACATTTAGAATGCAGCTCAGGGACTGGGTATAGCAAGCAGCAATAAGCATAATCATCCATACAATATAATAAAACCAAATAAACCAAGCGAAACGTTGCGTTTTGTTCACAGTGACGATCCCAGCGGTTCCACAAGCAAGAAAGCCGGGTGTGAAACGGAGGATCCGAAGGAGGCCGGCAGACAGAGTGGCCAGGAAGGCAGGTCCGACACCCAGACGCTAAAAGCCCAGCATGCGGAGCTCCAAGAAGAGCAGGCAGCGGGGTGTTCCCCTCTGGTGCAGAAGGCGAGCCTCCACCACACGGGCTCCCCAGTGAGAGTGCAGCGCAGCAAAGGGACGGCCTCGTGTTCCCATGCAGCTGCCTCCGATTATGAGCTCTCCCTTGACCTAAAGAATAAACAGGTACAGAGGCTTCCTCCTCAGGCTGTGGGAAAAGGGGACGGGATGGGTGGGATTGCATTCACACTGTGGTGGGACATCTTTCAGCAAATACCTTAGCCCTTCGTTCATCTGAGCAGGCCTGGCCCTTTAGCTCCATGGGGCTGATGGAGGAATTAGCTTCCTCATTCTGACTGCAACACCCTTTCACCCAAACCTGCTAGGCTGTGCTCCCCAGTTCCCGGGTTCTGTGGTCCAACATGGACACAGATACTCTGTTGTCACTGTAGGCTTAGAGGTGAGTTGCAGGCAGTCAAGAGCTGTAGCATCCAGAGATGCTGTCTGGCTCACAAGCAAACAGTGCCTGTAGTGCTCCCAGCAACTGGTCCCAAAAGTCCTCCTTCATGGGAGAGGTCTCCAAGAGCTGCCTTTTCTTCTTGGATCATGCTCGGCAGACCCCCAGTGCACTTCTGCATTAGTCTCTTTAAAGCATGTGTTTACAGGGGTAGAGGGATTTATTTAGTGAGCATACTGCACAGTGTCTACCACGATTGTTTGGGCAGTGCTGCCATTATTGCCTTCAATCCAGTGATGAGTGCTGAAGAGACAGGCAAGTTTACCAGGCTGAAAGTGATTAAATTCTTGAAGCTGCAAGCCTTACTTCCTGTGCCTGAGGCTACAGCCTAGCTCCAGATCACAAGTGTACCCATCTCGAACTGCACCTCCTGATGGGCTCTCTGCAGGGGACTGCAAGACAGGGGCTAATAGCAGCTGGCCTCCTCATTCAAAAACAGTGAGGTGGAACATGCCCCCTACACCCATGTCTCTGCAGACTACAGCCCAGGAGAGCTGTTGTGCAAAACAAAATGCAAAGAATATGGCTTCTGACTTTTCCCTGGGATGGCAGCTCAAGCAGAGGCTGTTTGATATGCAGACCCTGTGGTATGTGAGATGAGGAGGACAAGCAAATGCTAGTGACAGTGTCCAGATCACGCTCAGTTGGAGAATTCAGTGGGAGCTGTGCTATTGCAGATGAAGGGTCTCAGCTAATGAGGTTCCCACAGAAGAAGCTGCTGCTTTAGGGACATCTCTCAGCCACTTCCCTCAAGGCATTGCTGCTGTTCCTAAACATTTATGTCAGATCAATGGACCAATAAATTCCTGAGCAGAAAAGAGACCTTGGCTCTTTAGCTCTGTGTTTCTCAAAGTGCTGCATACTCAATTCAGACAGAATTCTTGCTTCACACAAGGAAAAGAAACGAGAGAGACCAATTAACTGGCCTCATGAACTAGTATGACATGTCTTCAGGGTGGGCCAGACCTTGGCTGCTATATCTGGGCTTAGCTTCCTCAATGTCCTAGAGCTGCTCTGATTTGTCCTGGGGAGTGTCTGTCCTGTGTTATTTTAGCATTAAGGTCATGTTGTCCTATCACTGTTCTAGCAGCAGAGGCCAGACCTGCCCTGGATGCATGTTAGCTGCTCATTCATTAAATTCTGGTGCCTTGCAATCCTGACCTTGCAGGGACGTAGCCTATCTCGTAAGTGAAACCACTTTTCTCAAAGCAAAGGGGGCTTACAGGGTGCGTTCTCTTCCAGCCTGATGGATGTCCTCAGGGGATTGCCTCCAGCTCTGGAAGGAGAGATTTTCAGGGAGTGAAAAGTGCTAGGACCCTCAAGCACTGTCCCAGTAGTTTTCTAGTCATAGCACAGACTGTAATGCACTCATAGAATGTACAGTACGAAAAGCAGGTGGAAAGAGACATTTTTAGTCTCAAAGTGCAGTTGAAGTCACGTTAACCTTTCAGGAGGTGCATGAGTGCTGGTGAGGAAGGAGAGTAGCCTAGAGACTCTTCTGCAGGGCTTGGAGTTTCAGGTCATCACACTAGATGGTTGGTGAGTGGGGTCATGGCTCTACTTGCTCTCTATCCCATGAAACAAAGCATGTGACAGTGTGCAGAGCAGAAGTGCACTATGCTGGGAAGCTGGAAAGGAAAATCAAGTTCTAAATTTCCCCTGTGTTGAGATTCTATCATACTGTCAGGGATCACAGGAGAGAGGAGCACACTTTTCAGTCTTGCGTACTCTTCTGCTGTGCTGAAGCACGGTAGATGTACCATGGATGAAGGAAAATGTCCCATTAACGCATGGCTCTTCTAGCAATGTCTTTCCATTGTGAAAGGTTGGTGGGAGGCAGAGGCATTAAGAATGGGTGACAGAGAGCATGTATGCTCTCGATGTCTTTTTGTTATTTCTACAATGCATGCATTGACTTGAGTGACTCAGATTCTGTCACTGAACATGATCCTCTTTTTGCTAACATGGTGGCATGCTGCCATCCTCAGTGGCAACCTGGGTGGAAAACCAGTGCTAAACGAGAATGAGATCAGGCCCATTCTCTCCTGGCAGATCTATGAATTTATGCTTATAGGCAACAAAGCCATGGGGTGTGTACCTCAAAGGTTTGGCCATATCCAGGCCTGGTACTTTGATTTGCCTTAGGCTGACCTTGTTAAAGCTCCCTTCATGTGCAATCCCTCATGGCAATGGATATTTCCCAGCCATTTCTAATTCAGCCACAAGGCCTGAATTGCTCAGACTGAGTGTTCATGTTGAGACCCAGAAATGTATTAAGCTAATTATTCTTAGAAATCCCTGTGACCCCCTCCTGTTTTCCCCTTCCTTTGGCGCCAGCTGTCAGATCATTCCCCAGAGAAGAGCAGCTTTAAGTAGGCAATTACTTGTGATTCACAGGGTTTATTAGGAGGGAGAGAAGGCCAATCATGTCTGGCCTTTCTCCCCTCTCAAATGGGAAGAGAAGGTTCCTCCAGCAAGCCAGACATACATCTCCATTACCTGTGACTGCTGTGGTGCTAATGGATGCCCTTTCCTCCTCTCAAGAGAAAGAAAACAGGCCAGAGCACTGTGAAATCCTTAATTCCTCTGGAGTGTCAGTTAGCTCGACCTGCTGGCAAATGTGAATGTCTCAGACATCAGTAAGCAGTAAATGCCTGGGCTACATCAAGAAGAGAGATAGAGAGACCCACTCCTACCAAGGAAGAGTGGGGAGGGAAGTTCTCTGTGGGGCTGCTGCTTCTGGCTTTGCCAGTCTTCTCAAGAATCCTTTGGATCAGTCCCCAGTCCTTGTCATCACACCCACAAGACACTGGAGGACTCCCCTTGCTTTGGATAAGGCTGGGTGGCAGTGGACCACATGCAAAACACATCTTTGCACACCTGGTATGTGGTGGAGAACAGACTAGGTTGGGAGTCCTGTCACTTTACATCTTGTTCTGCTCCTTGATGCTTAAGCCCTTTGGGAGGACTGAGATAGTGGGCTGCAAAAACCTGATGATGTTTTATCAAGGTGCTGACAGCTTGCACCATTCCGTTAGACTTTTGGAAGGATCTCTCCTCTTGGTGATTATTGAAAGTCTGCTTTTCTGGGGAGCTGTCCTTGCATGAGATAAACTGGCCTTTTACTTCAGATCAGCAATGACATCTTGTCTTTGCCTCTAATAAGATCAGTGCATCTGAATCTCATGTTTTCAGAATGGCTGTCACCTCCTTGGAAACCTCAGATAATTGTAAGGCTCTTGCTTCTGTCTTATTTTGCATTTTACTATTATTCTGTCCCTCAGATGGCTGTATCTGTCCCTCCCATTTGTTCCTCTTTCCCTCCCAACACAATTAACTCTACATTTTCATTAATCAGACCATTATATTAAGTGCTCACGGTCAGTTGTCAGTAATAACTATCTGGGTTGGGCCTGTATAGGTTACTGGTTTAATTTGCACTTATGTGCATGAGCCTTCCTCCTGAAGGGGAGGGCCAAGGAATAGCTCAGTCCTTTTCAAGGGAGGACAGCTTGAAGAGATGTGACAGAAATACTGGTTTTATGGTAGGATTTAAGATGGTTATTTTGGAAAGAACGACAAAGAACCCTAGCAAAGCCCTTCTGCGTGCTACTCAATCTCTTTTTATCCCTGTATTTCTCTTTGTTGCAGCATCAAAATCTTTCTGGGATGGCAGCAGGGCAAATATTAGGAAAATGTTTTTTAAATTAGGGGTAAGCAGATGCCATGGTTTAACCCCAGTTGGCAACTAAGTACAACACAGCCACTCATTCCCTGCTTCCGTTGGTCAGATGGGGAGGAGAACTGGGAAAAGGTAAAACCTGTGGGCTCAGATAAGAACACTTTGATAAAAGAAATAAGTAAATAATGATGATGGTGATGATGATGAACAAGAAGAAAAGGAAGAGAGGAATAAAAGCTAAGAAACCCAAGTGATGCGCAATATGATTGCTCACCGCACACTGACCAATGCCCATCCTGTACCCGAGCAGCGATCAGGAGCTAAGCATGATGTTCCATGGAATAGAATATCCCTTTGGCTAGTTCGGGTCAGCTGTCCTGCCTCTGCTCCCTCCTAGCTTCTTGTGCATCTCCTCATAGACAGAACACAGGAAACTGGAAAGTTCTTGATTTAGAGTAAGCAACTTAGCAACAACCACCAGTGTCTTATCAGCATTGTTCTCAGGCTGAAGCCAAAACACAGCACTGCACCAGATACTGGGAAGAAAATTAACTCTATCCCAGCTGAAACCAGGACAGCAGATCTCTGAGTCATCTGTCTCTTCAGCTGCTGTGACTGACCCCATTGCTAAGCAAATTACTAGTATGTCTCAGTGCTGGGCTTGGTGCTTGCTTTGGACAGATGTGAATTTAAAGGCAAGGAAAACAGAAAACAGAAGCTTTACATTTGAGCCCAGGGAAAGGTCCATTCTTCATTTCCAGAGAGGAAATTAGGACAGGATGCGCCCCGAGGCCCAATCCCTTCCAAAAATGGCAGTTTCCCATCCAGTGCAGCAGAATCTCTAGACCTGTTACTGCCTGGGGTCTCAATGGGAAAGGTCTGCAGTACTTACTCCAGCAGCCAGGATACCAGTGCAGGCACAGAACACCCGGGGTCATGTTGTTCCTGTCTTCCTGTCATCTCTCGAGGTCATATTGTCTTCCTCAGAGGAGTTAGCATTGGAAAGATGCCAGAGGTGATTTACACTTTTTACATCTCTGATTTCAGGCCTTCTTGTACCTAGATCACTCACTGATGGTTTTATCTGCAACTTAGGTAGTATTACAAAAAAGGAAAACAAGAAGGAAGCAGATGACACAACTCTGGGAGCTGAGGCTTATGCCTCAGTCTTGCTTTGAGTACAAAATCAGTTTGCACTTAAACTCAGGTCTTCCGTGAGTTCAGTCCTTCATCCTGTGAGTACTGGGCCAGCAAGGCATGGTGAGGGGCAAGTGGTGTTTGTCTGGGGATAAGGATGCAGTCAGTAAGACTCACCTTTGGATCTGCTAATGAGCTCATACTCACCACATGAAAGATGTAGTGAATCCTCTGTTAATTCAGGGCTGATTTTACCAGCACTCCCAGTCTTGTGTTTCCCCTTTTTTTTTGATTTTCACATGTGCACACACACACACACACGTACAAACGCTACAGTCTGCATCTGCGCTGTGCCCTGTGAAGTGACAATGTAGAGGTTAGCTCATAGTTCAGTCAAAACCTCAGTGAAGGTAGTTCAAGGTCATCCTTATGTTTTCCTCAATCCCATCATCCACCATCATCTTCACACTGTCCCACTTGTCCTCTATCAGTCACTCACTGGAACCAAGTCATCTAACATTATCCTGTAGGACGTTATGAAGGGCCAGCTGCAGAGGAAGAGTGAGGGGATTACCAGGAAGTGTGAACACTAGACTATGGTAGAGAAATTACAATTCATACATGCTTTGTTGAAGCCTGTTGAGATGCCGTTTAGCTGTGTGCGTACGTATTTACATCTGTTTTTGTTGTTACCAGCTTGGGAAGAAGTAAATCCTCCTTCTACCTGTTCTTAATATCTTGACTAAACCTTTAAAATCAGAATTTTTTACCTTTCAGAACTGAGAGTCTTTCTTTTCTTGAGTAGTTTTTATTTCACTGCTGGCTGACACCTGAAAAACACAGGTATCAGAAAGGAAGACACTTTGGGATACAGAGTGCTTTTTAAAAGACGGTGAACAAACACAGCTCTCATTGACTTCTATGGAAGCTGATGTTTCTTGCCAGCTCCTGTGATCAACCCAGCATTTTCTGAATTTAAAAATTAACTTTTTATTCCTATTTCTTTATGGTTTCTCCTTTCCATGAGAGTATTTGTTAAGGTGACTAAGGAGGGGAGGAGCATTAGTAGCACCCTGAGATAAGGGATGACGCTTGACATCACCAGAGCACTGCAGAGCAGGAAGACACATTGCTGGAACACTGTATTTGCAGTGATGCGCTTGCCCTAATGACCGTGAGAAGTGTGTAAGCAAGGGAAGGGCACCTCCAGGCTCCAGCAGTGCAGGAGAAAGCTCATTCAGTGTCAGAAGTTCCTCTGACAGTCATTACAGACTCATCAGTGTAGGAACCAGGGTAACAGAAAGCCATCAGAGGTCAATTAGCAAAAGAATAACATCTCCTGTTTCTATGTCTTCCAGATCGAAATGCTAGAGCACAAGTACGGCGGTCACCTGGTGTCTCGCAGGGCAGCCTGCACCATCCAAACTGCTTTCCGGCAGTACCAGCTCAGCAAGAACTTTGAGAAGATCCGCAACTCGCTGCTAGAGAGCCGCATGCCACGCCGCATCTCCCTGAGGAAAGTCCGGGTCCAGAACTCAGAGAGCTTCTCTGCTGAGAAAGCCCTGGTGGAGGGGTACAACTTTGTGGGCATCCCATTGGTGAGGTCTCCATCTTTGCCAGCCACCATCAGTGGGGCACTGACCGAGCTGGAGGACTCCTTCACAGAACAAGTTCAGTCCCTGGCCAAGTCTATTGATGATGCCCTCAGCACTTGGAGCCTGAAGACCATGTGTTCACTGCAAGACGGGGGCTCATACCAGATAAGGGAGACCTTCAGTGCTAGCTCCGTGCAGCCAAACCAAGATTTAGAAGCTGAGCTGCAGGAGAAGGAGAAGGAGGAAGGGCTCCTGCCAGACACTCTACCCAAGAGCAGCAGCACTCTCATGATGGCTTTTAGGGATGTCACAGTCCAGATCGACAACAAGAACATCTCTGTCTCATCGTCTACCTCGGTGTCCATGGCAAACTGCCTCAGCAACAATGCCCAGCCTGGGCTCTCTCAAGCTACCAAGGCTGAAGAAAGCCCAGGAGAAGGGGAAGGAGAAGCCAGTGAACCACCGGCTGCCCCAGAGAGCTCACCTGAGTCCACAGCTCTCCAGAACAGCCACACTTTCACTGAGGTGAATGTCAGTGCTAATGGTACAGGAGACAGCAGTGCTGAGCCTGGGCAGATGGCAGTGCAGAAGCTCCAGCTTGATGCTAGCAATGAGACAGGGCAAAACAAAGGCTCTGAGTCTGAGAATGCAGACAACTCAGAGCAGCTGAGCAGTAGCAGCACCTCCACTTCAGCCAAGTCAGCCTCGGAGGTGTCCTCCAAAGAAGCACTGCAGGCCATGATCCTCAGCCTCCCGAGGTACCACTGCGAGAACCCAGCTAGCTGCAAGTCCCCCACACTTTCCACTGACACCATGAGGAAGCGCCTCTACCGCATTGGGCTCAACCTCTTTAATATGTAAGTGACTCTTCCTCTTTTGTGTTTCCCAGCCTATTTCACCCCTGACAGGAACACGTGGTGGGAGCCTCTTGGTCTAGATCAGTTTAGCTCATCCAGCTTTTTCTTTAGGTTAATAAGTACTGTCCTCATCTTCTTCCCAACAGAGGAACAAGCCCCAGGAGTGGTGCCCATGCTCTCCTGAGTTCTGAACCTTCAGTCCCAGCTGCTGTCCACTTGGCACCCACCAGCTGAGCTTGTGATCTAGGCTTCTGCCACACCCTGTTGCAAAGGAACCAACATAGGTGGTACTGTAAACCCAGCCCTGGTTACTTAACATGGGGCATTTCCAAGTAAAGAGAGAGACAGAGGTAGAACTGGGCTTAGCTTGCCCAGTACGAGTGCCCTGGCTGTCATTTTCATTCTGGTATCTGGGTAGATTTTCACCTGACAGACCAGGTTTAGTCATCTCAGTCTCACACATGTGAGACTGATATCCTAGGAAAAGCAAAAGCAGAGCAGTCCAAAGAAGACTTTAACTGGAGGGGTCACACAGAGTCTATTTTGGATTAGCAGAAGGCAGCTGAGCTCCTCTAAGGAGCTTTAGATTTGCTCCTTGCCTTTCAGTGAGACTTTTCTCATCTAAGCAAGCTGTGAGAAATACTGGTTTTTGCTTCATCATCTCACACTCATCTGATGCTGCCTTGGTTTCCATTTGAGTCCCTTGATGAAGATGCTGGGGATGTAATGCACTCATACTAGAAGAATGTTTTGCTACACATTAGTGTGGGCGTTTTGGTAAGAGTGAGGACTAAAGGTTATGCAGTCCAAGGCAGAAGTTTTGCACAGACAAGGGGTAATGCATAGAACTTATAGACAAGTAAAATGGAGGTTGTGGACTCCAGGAGGCAAGAATGTGGAGTCCACAGCCTCCATATTACATGTATGTAGTATGAAGGTTTTTCAGACTCGGCTCAGAGCACACCCAGAGCAGACAGATCTGTGACTCTTACAGAACTGAGGACATTTTGCTAGCTCTGAGCTCAGGTTGTGAACAGGTGAGTCCATGTGCGTTTATCAGAGTCAGGCTCTGGGCACACACAGATTTGCCTGATGAACACCAGCAGGCTGGAACTCCAGAAGGTAGCTACCAGATGCAGGTGGGCAGGAGTCCCTCCAGCCAATCTCTTTTCCTTTGGTTCCTGTGGTTCCTGTTCCAGTTGACACGGGTACTCATGTGAAGGTAAAGCAGGAATGAGAATGCTTATTATTCCTGGCCTTTCCTCCTCCCCAGTCTGCCTGGCACACATACATGTGACAGATTAGCAGCACCAGGTCTGCTGTGGGGAAGCAGCTCTGCCTTCCTCCTTCATTCAGTGACCTGGGTTCACTGCATCTTGCAGGTCCCTGTGGGCTACAACACTTACTGTTGAGCTCTGAAGCACATTTTCTTAGCCAAGCTTCCCCTGCTCCCTTGAAACTAACTGCTGAAATAGCGTGTATTAACCTGGAAGGTGCAGTTGTCTTGACAAAACACTGGAGGACAGGGAGGAAGGGAGCTGACCTGTTAGTGTGAAGGTTGGTTTTTATTATTCTCTGAGTGGGACTTAAGGCTCCCCTTGTGACACTGCAGTGCATCTCCATCCAAGGGGATGGGAAAGCCATTCAGCTTTCTGCAGTTATTTGGTTGTTATTTCCCTATCAATTTCTAGCAAGGAGCCAGTTTACTGTTGTGGGGTTTGTGATGTGAGCACCAACCCAGAGGGCATGGAGCTGAGACTGTGCCTCTGTGTGTGCACATCCTTTTTACTGACTGTTCCTCTAGACCAAGAGGTGAAGCCTGCAGTTCTATCACCATCTGCCATAACCTATCCAGCCCTGTGTTGCCTTGAGTTGCTACTTTCAGAAAGCAGCTCTCTGGCTGAGAGCAGCCCCCTGGGAATGCATGGATGCTGTGCTTCTGTGGCAGTTTCCCAGTCTCCATTCCACAGTGAGGGGGTGGAATCCCTGGAATGAAGAGCACTTCATTATGCAGTGCTGCTGTAATAACTCAGTGTGTGTGGGCAGCTGGCTGCGTGGGCATAGGGAAAGCCAGCAGGACGTGAGGAATCCCGTAGCATTTGCTGGCGGTGTTTAACACCCCTGCAGCATTAAACATAATAACAGGCACCAGGCCCAGGAGAAATGGAAGCAGAGTTTGCTGCTGTACATCTGGGTAAAAGCTGAGTGCTGCGGTACATGGGATACCTCTGCAGGTGTCCAGAGGCAGAGATGCTGCACTGCTTATCAGGATTTTATGGAGAGCAAACAGAATCCCAAGAAAAACTGATGACAGGCTGCTGCTGGTGGAAGAATGGTGTATGCAAGTGTGTTTGAGTTACAGCATAGGCAGTGCAGGAGGGCTGTCACAGCTGGATTGTTTCAGCCTACATCCTCTTGCATTGTGTGTGCCATCTCTACTGAAATCTGCACATCCATGCACATCCAGTATGTGAGCTGCATTTTTCTGCCCATATTCAGCTGTCAGCTCCGAGCTCCTCTGGAGTGAATGCAAACTCAGTCTGGTGGCTTTGGAGTCACACCAGTGTAGCTGAGATCATCGCCATACTGTGAACACAGCACTGTCACTTACCAGATACCCAAGTGTGCAGGCGGAGGTGTATTTTATGCATCTCCATTGCTTAGCTTGACTTCAGTCCTGACCATATGACCATTGCACTTAGGTAACTTTTCCTGTGCTCTTCAAAGGTGAAACAGATCTGTGTGATAATACAAAAGGCGCACTGTTGCTTTTCCCTGAGGAAGGCCTAGGGTTTTCAATATCAGATCTTGCAACTCTCCTGTTCATAAATGTAATGGGTTGGTTTGTTCTCCCAGCCACTCTCCCCAGGGACTCCATGCTCCCCAGGATATGTTCATTGTGGCATTACAGAGTAAGCAGAACTATTTCAAGCCCATCTACTTTTTATATAGCCATGAAGTCCCTGTAAGGAGCAGGCCATTCCAAAAGCTGACTCCCTTATAGCTAGACATATGTTGCTCACCCACATCCTCTGCCACCTGACAGTGTCACAGTCTGTGCCTGTGCATATCATGCATTCACGTGGTCTGGGATCTCATCCTTTCCTTTCCTAACCCCAGGAAACTGCCCGAGCAAGCTCACTCCTTGAGCCTTGACATAGATAGCTGAATTTGGGTTAATGAGGGAAGTATGGCACCCTTTCATGAAGAAGCTACCCTCTCACCTCCCCCACTCACCAGCTCATCGAACCAAAGGAATGTGGAAATCTCCCTGGCATTTCACTAATTCCTTTCAGCAAGAGTGCATGACACCCTTCAGTGGGGCAGACTGAAATATAGGAAGAAAACCTGCTACACGATACACACATATACACTCATTCCAGTCTGTACTGTGGGACACGCACCACTACGTAGGCTTACAGCCACTGCCAGGATACACAGAACCATGTGTCCTTATAGGAGACTTGAGGAGGAAGCCAAAATACACAGACACGCAGGCTCTAATGAACGTGTATGGTGCAAAAGAAATCTGTATGTACAGGACATAGGCACATACAAACACGTGTGTCTATTGAGACATGCACTATCCCCCAAGAGCTGCAGTCAGGCCCACTCATCACCAATCCTGTTCTCAGAGAGGCACTCACAGCCACAGAGGGAGAAACCCCCCCGTCTTTTCCCAGCTCTGATAAGACATTCTTCAGGTTCCTTCTCTCATCCACACGCACACACAGAGGGAATAAATCAATAGAGAAGGGAAGAACAACACAGGTAAGGGTGGGGGAAGTGGATGAAGAGATAACCAAACCTGAGAATGGGGTTTCTATTCAGGCAGCCACCACCTGAGGTGAGGAAGGCAGAAAGTGTCACTAACACTGAGCACTAAAAATACATGAAAAAGAGATTTTATTTCTTTTTCCATAGAAAAAGTGCCCACCTCTGGTTATCCCTCTTTGTATCTTGAGCCTCATTTGCCCATAGACCATGGCAGCAGTGTCTCCTAAGTCACTTTACAGCCACATTTTTCCCTTTGGCTTTGTCTGCCCTGCCGAAGATGCAACCCCAGTTCCCCTAAAAGCAAGGGGGTCTCACCCTGGTCCTTGGAGACAACTCTCTGTGGGTTGCATTTGGAGCAGCCGAATGTACTTGTATTTCCTGTGCTGTGTGGAGGACACAATCTAATCATGTCCTTACAGGAACCCTAAGTAAACCAAGGTGGGGCAGAGAGGGTGCAAGAGTCTTTAACTCTGAAGAAGGCTGGTGGCAGAAGGTGATGTTGGTATTGTGCATCAGGATTCTTTGTGGCAGTAGGATGACACTTGTGTTTGCCAGGTGACAGCAGGTACTGCAACTGACACAGCATCCCATGGCATGCTTTTGTCTTCAGCAGCAACTGGAAGGGGACTCCCTCAAGTCACTTCTCCTTGCCCACTGCAGTCCCATTCTGCCACGTGCATGAACTCATAGGAGCCCATGCACATACTGAGGGCTGCGTTGCTACAAGCCATGAAGTGAGCCAGAGGCGATAATGCGTAAAAGAGATCATGCAAACTCGTCATGTATGTCTCTGACCTTCTCTTTCAGAAACCCAGACAAAGGGATCCAGTTCCTGATCTCCCGAGGCTTCATCCCAGATACCCCCATTGGGGTGGCACACTTCCTGCTCCAGCGGAAGGGCCTCAGCCGCCAGATGATTGGGGAGTTCCTGGGCAACAGCAAGAAGCAGTTCAACAGGGATGTCCTAGAGTAAGTGTGGAAACCCTCTTCCCCTTCTCCCTGCGCTGTAAAGGAGTTTCGAGCCCACTCCTCTGCTCCTGGCTGCACCAGCAAGACCCCATCCTTTATGTCCCCTCCATCCCCACTCCACAGGAAGTTCACCATTCTCACTCCCTACCTGACACACCTCAACGGATATCCCAGCAATGCATTTCCTCCTTAATATCAGCAGCCCTTTCATTTCAGTCTCTCCTCAGGGGGCTTGTGATCATCTAGCAGGAGCTCAGCACTGTCAGGTGGTGGAAGCAGTGATGCTGGGAGGTTTTGTGGCTGGGAAGCTCTGTGACTGGGTTCTTACCCAATCCAGATAAAGCACCTCTGATGTGTTCTGGGAAGTACTAGGAGGCAGAAGAAGAAAAATACCTGTTCCTTGCAGTGAGACCAGCAGCAGGTAGTGAATGGTGGCTCCACACCTGGTTCTCTTTCTGTCCAATTTTGAGATGAGTGGCCTTTTCATTTTGTCCACTTGCACTACAGGGATAATAAGAGGAAAGCTGATTCTGTTTGGCAATGCTACTCCTGTTGGAAATGAAAAGCCTGCAAAAGGAACCTTGCTACTAGTGGTTTGTCATTGCCACTGCAGTCACAGAGCACTGAGGAACGTCCCCACTCCAAAACTCCAGTAGGCTGAGCTATCCCTTTTCTGAACAAGATCTCAGGTTTCCTCCATGCTTCTGTTAGTGGCTGCCTTTGATGGATTCTTCCTTTCAGTTCTCTCACAGTGACTCTCCCCTGGTCACACAAACCATGAATCTCTCAGCCTATTCCTCTCTCATCTTTCGAGACCTGCAATTTGGGCTGCAAAAACCAATATACAAACCTATACTACCTCAGTGCCTACCTGTTTCTCTGCCTTCCACATTGTAGCCATTGCTAATTTGTCAGACCTCAGCACCAAGGGAGCAGTGTGAACTGCTGGGAACAAAAACATCCTGCCTGTTCTTCTGAGCAATGTCCAAGATGACAGGATTTCTGCAAAGATAGATGTGGGGAAGCGAGATGACCATTGGTTTCCTCCTTGGTCCTGGTGTACTTCAGATGACGGAAAAGGAGAAAGCACAGCTATCTGTGTGATAAAAAGGGGACATGAGGACCAGGGGACACCACCCAATCACCTTGAGAACTGCTGCAGTGAAAGCAGGAGGAGATTGCAGCTTTTCCCCAGTGAGTGAATGTGAGGGCTGCCATGCAGGCTGATGTGACCTGGGTATTCAGAAGGCAGCAAGCTCATTCTGAGACCATTTCAAGGAATGACTGGCTAGGTCTTGCTTTTATTACGCAGAAGGACAGTTCTTACTGAGAGCTGCCTTTCCATTAGACAGGAAGTCCTTTGTGCTGGATCCTTTATTATATTCTCCCATCCTCCAAAATGTTGAATTTTGCAGTGTTTTTTCTTGAGCCAAGCCAAAAAGAAACCCTAAATCCAATGCACACCCCACTTTTACTCCAGGGAAGTACTAGAGGATGCCAGTTCAAGAGCCAAATCTGGGCCCAAATTTCAAAATTCATTCCTGCTGCAATTGCTGCTTGTTGCTGCAGGTACCTGACCTTTGGTCCAGCTCTCTTTTTTTATATACTGCATGGGTTGGGTATTGATTTGGCCAGCAGCAAGACACATGTTCTCCCCAGTCTCTTCATGCTGAGAGCTACAATTAAAAGTAATTGCCTCTTTTTCTCCAGCAGGCAGTGTGTGGGCTGCTTTCCCTGACAGATACTCTGATGAAGTCCAAACCTAGCTTCTGCACAGACAGGGAAATATTGCAAGAGCAATAGGCTGGCACTTCCTTGTGGTCCTGAATTTGGCATCATCCCTGCAAATGACCATGTCCTTCTGCCTCACCTGTGACTGTAAAGTGTGTTCCAGCAGCTCCTGAGAACAGCCTCTATTGCAAATCTTGATGTCTGGGCCCCCCAGCCTCAATGCTCAGGAGCTGCTATGTTCTGGTTGCCCATCTTTGCATGTTGCAGGATGTCCATTAAAGCAGGTGGCCTTACTCTGTCATGCTCATTACTCTCAGTTTCCACTGCACCTCTCAGTGTAGCACTCCAAATGTTCCATGTAAGAGTGACCTCACCATTCTATTTACAGATGTAAAAAGCAAGGCTCAAATATGGGAACTGAGCTGTTGAGGCCATGTGTACACTGCCATATATTGGACATGAACTTTGTGTACATCGGCATGTATCAAGCAACTGAGTGAATTAGGGGTTCAGACCTGTGTTTGATCTCTCCAGGCAACAGCTGATGTTCTTGAACTATCAGTATATGCTGCCATCCCCTCTTCACAATAAATTGCTAATTCATCTTCCTTGAAGGCAGCGGTAAAAGTAGACATATAAGATACACAAGATGTTCTAAAATAGTAAGGGAAACCACACACATTCAGCTGGCTGTAGCTGTGCTGTTTGCAGGTACTTTCACTCTCTTCCTGTGTCAGTTCTGAGCTTGGGGATAGCAATGGTTGCTGTGTATCCCAAGCAAATTTTCATCACCTGCTTGTAAGAGCTGGCTGGACAATGGCTGCACACCCAGCAGTGTGACATGTGGGGAAACAAGGCATTGTCAGGGGAAATCCTGGCCCAGGATTATCACCCTGGATATTTCTCCTGTCCCTGGTGCAGAAAGAAGAGGGCTGGCAGTGTAGTACAGTATGCTGGCATTTCCAGTGCACTGTAGTGCACTATAAAGCTAGTCATGACTTTTGAGCCATTTGTGTGGGAGCAAGAGGCAGCTTAAAGACCTTTTGACATTTTAGAACTAAGATCTAGTCTGGTTTTCATTCCTCATCCAACTCAAATCAAACTAGCTCAGAAACACTGGCACATGTTGAGAGAATGGATTCTGCAAGGGCTGTCTTGCAGTCCCCACATCTACCCACACTTAGAAATCCAGTGGTATTCCCAGCAGAGCATGTGGCAGACAAAATAGCTCATACAGTAGCTTCTGCACAATTTTCCCAATGCCACGGTCATTTCTGTGGCCCAAGAGGGCAGAAGATCAGGCCCTGCTAGTCCTGGCAAGCTCAAATGCCCAAGCAGGGTGGCCGTGAGCAGGCAGTAGTTGTTGGGCAGGCTCTGACTACCTGCAGTGAGCAAGCCTTTATATCTCTGCTCCTTCACATCCCAGACCCGACCCTGAAGCCCTCCTGGCCCATCCTCTCCCTCCCAAAAGCAATTTCAATTATTGATGCCACTTGCTGTGTTAGTTTAGCTTTCGCTCGATGTGAAAACTCGTGTTAGAATTGTGTGTTGTAAGCATTGTCTCCACTGCCGCCAGGTTGAATTAACCCAGCTGCATGAATAAATAATAGGACAGCTTTTAAAACATCGGCGAAAAGTGTCAGCCTCCCTTGTGCATTTGGAGGCAGGGCAGAACTGCCCAGGTCAAAACCTCCAGACTCAGCTGTAAGTCCAGGTTCAAGACTCTGCTCTGCAAACTTCTCTTGGCTTCTGCAGGTATTGAAGCAGTGATGCTGACAAACAGGCAAACCAGTACCTGTTTCTGGAGTCAGGCAGCAGAGCTCAGAAGTGTACAGTAGTATTTGATACTGTGGAGATACTCTGCCTTTACCGCTCACCTAAAATTCCAGAGGAGATTCCATGCTGGTTGCAAAGCCTCTCACATACATGGGCAGGGAGGCGGGTGAGGGTAAGTGCAGTAAAGGGCTTGAAGACTTTGGCATGCAATTTTGCCTTTCCACACCAGCAGGCTCAGCACATAAATGCCCTGAAGTTACATTCTCCTGTCCGTCCTCCTACTCTGTCTTTCAACCTCTAACTGGTTTTCTTGGAACCCAGAAAAGGTGTCTGGATAGCTCACAAGTAATCCACAGAATCATAGAATCAGCTAGGTTGGAAAAGACCTTTAAGATCATCAAGTCCAGTGTTACCCTAGGACTGCCAAAGCCACCACTAAACCATGTCACTGAGGGCCTCATCTGCATGGTTTTTGAACACTTACAGGGACAGTGATTCCACCACTGCCCTGGAAATCCTGTTCCAATGCCTGAGCACCCTTTTGGTGAAGAATTTTTCCTGATATCCTGTCTATTATATACGCTAGCCAGTGGAAGGGAGAGATCAGGGGATGATAGTATCTGACTATAGCTGGGACACATGCTTTGATAACGCTGAACTGCTCGTGCCTGCCTGTTAAGGGAGATGCAGTATGTTGTTTTCTTTTGCAGAAAAGGCTTCAGTCTTTGAAAGTAGGATTTATCTCACCTATTGTTAGCCACCACCAAGTTTAGTGCCTTCTATCAATTTATGAATTCCATTAGTTAATGGAGAGACATAGGTCCCTCAGGAGTGTTGATTTTTCTCAATGTGCTTGTTTAGGCTCTACATACAGCTTTTAGGTGTTTTATGTTACAGGTGATAAATCCCATCTGTAACCAATCTGAGCATCCTGCAGTAACAACCATTCTCTTTGATCCAGCATCCCACTGTAAGATCCATCCTCTTCTCTTGGGAATCTACTTCCACAGCCTGCCCTGAAGCCAGTTAGAAGGAGTCCCTGAGTATCTACCCCAGGGTTTCAATGTCTACCAGTCTAGACAATACAGCTGTAGAGAGGTAGGCTGGTCCACTAAAGCACTGAGCGGGTACTGAATGGTTTTATCAAATCTACTTACCAAGTACTGCAGAAAAATCATTTTGATACCTTGAAAAAGAGGCCCAAGGCGTTAACACATTTTTAATGAGACACATGATTGTTCTTGCATTCTTTCTTCATTCCTTTCTTTTGTATTACATGCTCAGATGGGTTTTTTTTTATTATTTCCTTTTTGTGCACTCTTCTTTCTCTGCTTATTTGCTTTTGTTTTCCTTCATTCATATTTCGCTTTAGTTCATTCTTCCCCTCCACCTGTTTCTGACTCAGGAAACTCTTCCATTTATAGTTCATTCATGAACAAGATAATGCGAGTGATGCCATGAATGGAGTCAGCTGTGCTGCTGGTACTTTATGG